GTAAAATCATAATGCAGATACATTCATACTAAAATTCTCAAAGAACTATGAATTCAATATGTTTGAGAGAAAGTTACCCAATGCTAAAATCATAACCTGAATTCTTTTCTTGTAACAGTGGCTGGCTTGCAGCTGTTCACTCATCCACCCACACACAGAGTAATTCCTTTTTTTTCACATCTAAGAACTGTTTTACCCAACATCATCCAGGCAAAAGGTGATATGTTACTCCCCCAAAAAGGAAAGCACATCTGCAACTGTCTGTACACAAACAACTGACACTCACAAGCACACTGCTGCCCAACAACAGACAATTTAAAGCTTAACAGCTCTCTCTAGAATCTAAGACAACAGGTGCATTTAAACAAGGAACAATATCCTCTTTCTAAGTCCAGTTCCTCTTCATTAAAGTCAATGGTGCAATCACTCTCATAACGTGGGTTCCTGTACCTTACTGAGCATTTTTAAAAAAACATGATTTACTGAAGAAAGCACATCTGGCTGACCCCATACAACTCACAAAACTGTAAGCACTGGCTTAAAAACCACAAGCAAATTGCATAGCCCAAACCGAACACCTTATGGCTTTAGGTAAAACTTCTCAGCATTACATCAAACTTGCGCTAATGCCAAACAAGAGGTAAGCCAGTGATATGAGTAAGGGTGAATGATCTAATTGGAGGAGGGGTTAATCATGATCCAGCCATCTACTCTCCCCTGGAAGAGAAGCTTCAGCTGGATAGCAATGCCAGGAACAAACTCTTCTGAGTAGGAAGAGAAAGGCAAAGGAGTGTGGGAGGAAAGCTCCAGCTTCTCCCATCTGTTGATTTTCCTCTGCAGATAAACCTCTTCTCTGCCTTCTCAAATACTGTAATCAGAAAACAGGCGGGTTAGGAAATGGGTTAAAAGGATAGAAAAGGAAAACGTGACCGAGGAAACATTACCTGCTTCAGACAATACAAAAAATTATTAACCCCCCCCCCTAATCAGCCAGATAAAATGGTTATATATAATTTAGATCAAGGAGGGCAACCTTTTGATAATTGAGGAGACAGTTAACTTGGAGGGGATGATGTAGATCCCAGCAACCATATCCTAATTGGCTATTGTCTTATAGCAATGTTGGCGAACCTTGTGTGCATGCGCAGGGGAGCGCCGGAAGCTGAAAGAGCAGTTCCCTGGCGTGCATGCGAGTGCCAGGAAGCTAACCTTCTGGTTTCCGGTTGCGCATGCACGAAGAGACCAGCTGCCTGGCGTGTGCAATCATGCCAGGGAGCTGCTCTTGCTCTTCCGGTTTCCGCTGCTCCCGCAAAGACTGGCTGGCATGCATGTGCACACCGGAACCCGGAAGAGCAACAGGCGATGACTGGTATGCCTGGAGAAATGGCTCTGCATGCCACTTCCAGCACACGTGCCATAAGCTTGCCATCACTGTCTTATAGAGTTTGATTTTGCTTATATTTGTGTTTGGTATAAACTGAGTTAAATTTAGTTTATAGAAATTGTATCATGAAATCTTAGTGTTTCTCCATCATATGGAGAAACACTAAGATTTCGTGATACAATTTCTATATAATGGTAGAATATTGTGTCATCAATTTTCACGAACTGTGTCTATGGAATTCATTACTCATAACATGTCAATGAATTACTTAAAAAGAACTGTAGCATATTCAGAAATGCTGCAGTAAATGGCGGGGAATACTAAAATTGAAATGTTATTATATATCCCAGTTGTGCCTTTCCCAAGGCTTTACAAAGTCTGGTATTGATAGACAGAATGCAGATGAATTCTGTAAATGAATCATTTGTTTGCTAATCCTTATCAAAAATAAACTTTAAAGCTAGTGGATAAGTGGAGAGAGAAAACTATCTAGTGAAGTTTGACATGAATTCTGTTTTATCTAATATTTTCCTTGCAGGAACTAAAGAATAAAACGCTAGTGGAAAAAAATTGGATGATACCATGCTGAAAAGTACAGGTGAAAAGTAAAGGGTGCAATTATGCAGGAGGAAATAAAATACTTTAGATTATATGCAGCAAAAATCCAAAACTCCATAAAATATTTGTAAACATGGAAAAATCAAACAGTTCTTTATTCATTATATTTATCTATGTAGAAAGGGAATGAAAAGTGGCAACCACAAAAAGTCAGTAAGTACAAAACAGGCAAACTAAAATGCCAGGATATATCAGACATCACATCTCTAGCAGAAACTAGGAAAGTAGTATTACTATAAAAGTTACTGCTAAAATGAAATAGGTTACTTTACATCCATTCATTCTAATTCAGGAATATCAGTCCTACTACCCAACTAATCACTCCAGATCAGGAGACTACAAATGGCGATTACAAGATAGCCAAAAAGTCTTTCAGCATTGTAAAGTTGATAAAACCATGTGGAATGTGAGATTGTTTGCCCACAAGCTCAATAATCATGGGCAAACAATAATACTCAGGTCATCTTATAAAAGGACCCAAACTTTGTTGACCTCTGTCCAGAAAGGATTATCTAATTCTACCTGGAGATGATGATAAGTTCTTCAATAAAAACTGATATGCTACTACTCCTCTTCATCTGGACTGTCATGGCCAATTCTGATAATCTAAATTCTACAATTATTTATCCCAAACAAAAATTAAGAATGCAAATACAGAACAATATCTTTATGAAAGGAGTCACTATTCAATTGTGGGCATTTTCTGACTCATAAAAGTAAGAAAGAGAAAGCCATCTACATATTATTAAGTTTCAGTATAGTTACAAAAACATTCTTCAATGTAGCATCTTCAGATATATTACACTACAATTTCAGTAATTCCCTTTGGATATGTTAGCTATATTTTTTGGAATTATAACCCAAAATGTCTGGAGGGCAAGTTGGAGAATACATACTGATCTGTATTGGGCAATTTGATCTCTTAGAACAAATATGGAAGTACTTTTAGATACTCAGATCCATTATATTGTTAATGTAGTTCCTTAACTAAGGATCTTCAAGTATTTTAGACAATACTGGTAACTGTAATGTACTGTCAGTTATTAGATCCATATGCCTTAATACAATCTAGAGATAAGAACATTAAACATTGAAAAAATATGCTATCAAATTCTACCCCTTTCCCCTACAATTATTAGATTCACAAATATTAGTTTGGTTTGCTTAGCTATGGTTTACTGAATAAATCCCAATGGTTACTTCATACATTGTTCTAAGCTACAAGCCACCCAGCCAGTCCTGGTCAGATCAAGACCCATAGTTTCAGCAAAGTTCCTAGGTTATCTTCAAATCATTCTTGAGAAGTGAGCATTAATTCATAGAAAAAAATAGATTGATTTCAGATATGTTTGTTAAGGTTCATGTTCACTGCCAGTTAGTTCTATGTGAGGGACTTGCCTTAAAGCATTAATGTCTTAGTCTTCTAATTTGGAGATTCTGACCTACTATGCTATCCCTATAACAGTTAATTTGGGACATTTTTGCCAGTCACATTCTTCTCACCAGCTCTGTGCTGCAGGCCTCCATGGGGCAGCCTATCCTTGGAATCACCTATTAGTTTAAATCAATCCCACAATCTATAGGTTTGAAGGCAAAACTAACCTTTGCCTTCAGTATGCACATCAAGATGTTTCTTGATTAAATCTTTTAACTAAACTACCTTCAGATTATAAACAGTTTCTTAACAGTTTCCAGCAAAAAGGCAGGGATAGGGGATGGGGGAGGGCCCAGCAAGAAAGTTAGGGTCTCACTTGCACATATAGCCCCTCTACAATCTGCCAATAGACAGAACTCCAATTGTTTCACTTTGAGTTTGCAGACTCAAAGTTCCTCCAGCTTTGTTCTCTGAGCTTCTTTAGGTCAAGCGAGAGCATTTACAAACACTCAATTAACTGAGACAAAATCAAGGGAGGCAGTTCAACAAGAGGCTCTCACTTCTAATTCACATCTAAGGAAATGATAGACTAGAATAGAAAGGTGAGACCACAACTGCACAAGCCCCAGCCAAGTAACAAGATTCATCTTAACTTCTTCCAAAAGCAAGAGGCAGTGGATTAATTGGAAGATATATCCTGTAGCCTAGAAGGCCAATATTACAAGCAGAAGGATCCATAGCAGCTTCTATCAATCAATATATGCATTATAGCTCACCAGAGATAGGAAGAAGAGCTAGCAATTGTGGCAGTTCCTTGGAGAACCCATCTAACAAACTTTGGAGAGCCCCTACTTCAAATGTGTGAGGTAGATGAGCTTGTCCCATGAGGTGATGGTTTTGAAATAACAGCAATTTGGAAACCTACAATGAAAAGGGGTGGGAGGCAGAGCATATGATGTATATCGTGCAAAATACTTTGTTATGGGGGGAAAAATGCTTATACATTGCTTACTTCCAACCATCTGAAAATAGAACTTTGGATAGGGGAGGAGGGAAGAAACCCTGCATCCCATCACCTCAGCAGCAATTTTTGGCAATCAGAGAAATTGATTTCCCATTCATTCATCCATCCTTAAGTACACTGGAAAGGGTGGGCCTCTCCCCCAATCCTCCATCACCCCTGCATGTAGGCAGTCATCCTCAACCCGGCTGCCCTGGGAAAGGAGAACCAGGAGGCTTCACTCCTTAACCCATTGTTAAATAACAAACCCAAGTGGGAGGCAAATGCCTGGAAGAAATCACAGGTAGAGGTTGCCAAAACTCTGCCGGTTCGGTAAAGGCAAATTTTCGAGGACGAAGACCGTGGGAAGGCTGAGACCCAGAGGCTTCTTGGGCAGCGGAGCCAGGCACAGGCAGTAACCCACTGCAGAAGGCAAAGGGGCTGCCAGAGGAAAAGCGGCTGAGCGAACGCTCTGGAAAGCGCAGAGCGTTAGGGATCCCCAGAAAAAGGGGGGGGGGCAGATCTGTTCTTGAAACTAGCTTGCAAGGCGAAACAATCGAGGGAAGGAAGCCGGGAGAGGGAGGGGGGGGGAAAGAACTCGGAGGTCGGATCCCCGAACTTACCCTTGCCGGGTTAGGAGCGCAAAGCTCCAGGTTTCACTGCACGATCCCAGGCATCGTGCTCCGAGCGAGGGGCAGTACCGTAGGAGACTGACGCCGAGCAGCTCTTCCCAGCGCCGCAGATGGATTGGCGTGGGCTGGAGCTCTGGCTCCTCCTCCTCCACCACGCTCAGGTTCCTACCTCCTCCGCCGGCGCCGATCTCGGGGAAGGAGGCGAAGCTCCAAGCAAGCGCTGAACGAGCGCCAATCTCTCTCCCTCTCTCGGTTGCGCGCACCCGCGAGCGCGGCCAGGAGACTCCTTTTCTCCGTCGGCCCGATCGACGGCAGGTTCCACCCAATCAGAACGACTCAAGCCTTAAGGCCAATAAAATAAAATAAAATAGATCTTGCAGCCTATCCGAGGCTATTCCGGGCGGGATGCGGCGCGCAGGCCGTGGGAGTCTTGCCGGGGGTTGTCTCTGTTACGCGCCTGATTCTTGGGGGGCTGTAGCTGTTTACTTTGGCGGAGCAAGATCGTGGGGGCCAAGGGATAGGGAAGCTTAAAAATATAACCAATTTCGTTGTATACATGATGTACAATGACAATAAAGGCTATGCTATATCATGGTAAAATATCCCTTGATGAAGTAGTCTTAATAGATATTCTTGTAGTAATTACGAAGCGTTTATAGGTGGTTGCTTCTGTTGAGAGAGGCAGAAGCAAATACCTGAGTAAAGGGGGCAGGAAAGTGATGCAGTTTTCCCCTAAATGGCCTTGTTAAACAACAAATCCTGCCAGGCATCCACCCATTATTAAGAATGGGGATGATGAGTGTTAGATATCCCCACACACAAACAGAGGTGTCCACCAAGGTCCTCTGTTCCAGTGGGAACAGAGGTTTAATCCCATTGGTCAAAAGGTCTGACAGATACCTTTAAAAGGGGGTGCTGCCAGACCCTTCCTCAGCCAGATGTTTACCTGACTTGCAATAAAGAGCTGTTGTTTACTAGAGCCTTTGTGTGCCTTCCTTTACCCGATCTAACACGCGACGAAGGTGGGATCGGAAGGCAACTAGGCGAACAAAAAGAGCAAATGTGATCCTGCAAGTATATCCAGCCTGGAGTATCCTGTGCGGCATTAAGCAAGCCATCGCTGAACGACGAAAGTGAATCAGGATGGCTATGCACGCCCCACCAACTCCATATGATCCAGCCACTGAGCACTGGGAATCGTACATGCTACGATTCGAGTGTTTCCTCGAAGTGAACGATCTCACGGGCGTTCCAGAAGCCCGTAAGAAGAACATGTTCCTCGGTTACTGTGGCCGGGAAGTGTTCAAAACGGCGAAAAACCTCTCGGAACCAACCCCACTCCAAGCAGTGTCCTGGTCTGCACTACAACAAATGCTGAAGACCCACTACGCGCTCAAGCTGTCCAAATATGTTCGCCGGCACGAATTTAACATCCGAAATCAGATGGAGGGCGAATCTATCAATGAGTATGTGGCGGCACTCCGGAAAGCCGCAGTCTACTGTGAGTTCCAAGACCTGGATGAGCTCATTCTGGACCACATAATTTGCGGCATGCGAGAAATTACTCTGCAGAGGAGGCTACTCTCTAAATCCAACCTCTCTGCAGATCGCACTAGTCGAAGCTAGGGCATCCGAATCAGCCGCCAAATCGACGGAAACCCTACAGCGCCAGAGCGCACCTCAAGATGGACCTCATCGAGGACTCTCCATGCGAGATGGAGATTGATACCGGGTTGTCACTGACCATAATCCCATGGTCAGTCCTCAAGCAAGCGATCCCAAAGCTACAGAAGCAACACCTCTGAAACCCTGACGTCCGCCTGCGTGATTACCAGGGAAACTGGGTCCCCATCGTGGGCCAAGGCACCTTCTGGGTGAACTACAAACAATTCTGCAAAACCCTCCCTGTGACAGTGGTCACCGGAAACCTTCAGAGCCTCCTGGGGCTTGATTGGTTTCAAGCTTTGGGGATGGAAGTAACCAGAATCAACTCCATGAGGGACGATGGCGCTGAAGCCATCTTTAAGGAGTTTGAGGATGTTTTCGGCACCAGTCTGGGTAAGTACAAAAGAACCCCAATTTCCTTTAGCTTGGACCCCAAAATAGCCCTGATTAGGCTAAAAACTTGGAGAGTATCTTTCACTCTCCGTCCTAAAATTGACAAAGAAATTGATAAACTTATGAGCCAGGGCATCTTAGAGCCAGTCGATCATGCATGCTGGGAGACGCCAATTGTGACACCTGTCAAGCCTGACGGGTCTGTCCGCATCTGCACGGACTATAAGTGCACAATTAATAAAGCGTTACAACAAAGCGCCTACCCTGTATCCATTGTACAGCACCTACTACATTTGCTTGGCCCAGGAAAAATCTTTGCAAAATTAGATATTGCGCAGGCATACCAACAATTGCCAGTAGATGGCGCTACTGCAGGGGTGAATTCAAATGCAAATTCAAACCTGCAATTTGGTGTTAGTATCGCCCCATGACTGTTCCAAAGCGTCATGGAACGACTTTTGCAGGGGATTCCAGGAGTTGTCCCCTATTTTGATGACATCTTGATATCGGCTGTAAAATGAAACACGTACGAACAGTTTTGGCCAGAATTAGAAACACGGGTCTCCACCTCAAAAAAGAAAAATGTCAGATTAATGTAGCAAAGGTCGAATTCCTAGGGTACCTGATCGATGGGTCTGGAATCCACCCGACCTCACAAAAAATTAAAGCTATTAAGGACGCCCCCACACCTTGCAATCAGAC